ATATAGTCAAAACTGTGAACATATGATCGTGACGAGTGTACCAACACAACAAAAAAAAAATTTGAAATTAGAGTGTATAGAGCGCGCGAAATTCAAAAAGTCACTTTACTTTTTGATCACACCTCGTACGCATGGGCTCTACCACTCAAGAGCAAGAACGGAAACGATGTGACCGCAGGGTTATCTACAATATTTTGCGAGGACGAACGGTACCCATGAAACCTGCAGACGGATCAAGGAAAGGAATTTTACAACGCTACCGTGCAGAAAAACATTGTTAAGAGATACAACATAAATCATTATTCTACATATTCAGTGATGAAAGCGTCGGTGGTGGAACGATTCAACCGTACACTCAAGAATAATATGTGGAAAACGTTCACATTAAACGGCTCGTACAAATGGATCGACGAGCTACCGCGTCTATTGTCAGATTATAATCATCGTAAACATCGAATCATTGGGATGCGACCGATAGACGTAACCGTTGCAAAACGACTCTTGTCGACGGTATTCAGTCATGTAAAAATGTAAAAATTACCGCTCCAACGAGGTTCAAGATAGACGATCCAGTACGAATTAGTAAATTCAAGACAATTTTTGAAAAGGGTTATACACCTAATTAGTCCACCGAGATTTTCTACATCGTTAAAACACAACGTACGAATCCTGCAACGTATCTACTGAAAGATTATCAAGGGAAGCCGATGGTGGATTCTACGAACACGAATTACAGCAAGTCTCTAATCCTGACGTTTATCTCGTGGAAAAAATACTACGCAAACGAGGAAATAAAGTGTATATAAAATGGTTAAGAATGGACAGTTCACATAATTCTTGGATAGATAAAACGGATGTATTGTAACTTTTTTATTTTATTATTACAATAAAAAATACAACACACATTACAGAGGTATTTTATAATGTCCCCAAGGTAGAGTAGTGACCGATTCGGGTACGACGTACCGCTTATCATCGTACGGATTAAGAGCGAGCTTCAATTCAGACACCGTGTAGACTTCGTGCAATGTCGATCGTATGCACGACTGACGTCTCGACTATACCGTTACATCGTTCAAACATCGCACATAATCGTCGAAAGTGATCGTTTTCGCGACTACGTTTTCCTTGACACCCTTTATTCTCTTCGTATCGCTCTTTCCGATCACTCTCAACGCGTACATCTTCGCTCTGAGTTCAATGAATTCCGTCATAATCGCACTACAATTTTCATCTTTCATCAAATCGGGTATTTTATTATTAACGCGTGGAATATCATACACGTTTCTCTCAGGATAATCACTCGTGTCGAATCTCGCGATATCATGATTGATGTCCTCGTATACATTCTCACACTCCAGAAGATAAATCAAGCTGTCAGTGTCCATGTACAAAATCTTACATGTATCGCGATACAATGGTATTATGTACTCATAGTGAAATTCGTATAGACGCAACTTAGCTATTTCGAGAATGCACATACCTACGTATATCGGTTTATTCATTTTTACCTCGAGTTTGCGCAATTCCACAGCAACTAGATTTTCAGAAAAAATATTTCTACTGTGAAAATTCGGTTTCGCTATCATCGCTTCCGCACCATATCTCCCATCCCAACGCGTTATAAGTCGAACGTCAGCGTGATCGCGTACGTTCTCCATCGTTTTTCCAAATATCGCATTGTTCATCAATTTGTAATGATTCTTCTCGAATTCGTTATTCGCGAGCATTCTAAATCTCGTATTAAGTACGATATATCCGCGAAGCCATGGGGATTGGGCGAATTGTAATGTACGGTAAATTTTTGTGATGCGGAGACCATGATGAATACATTGCTGCAGATTGCGATAGTACACGACATAGCGCTCCTTATTGTAAAG